CCTCATTCAAGTAAAGTTGCAATAACACGTAAACCATAATTTCCATCTTGACCCACATCAACAATGTCACTAATGTACTGCTGCAAGAAAACAGAAAACATAGACAAGTAAAGAAGTTTTGAAGACTGGTTACACGATTGACTTTCAATTGATTTTGTACATGATATCTTCATATTCTGACTTCCATGCGAGCCCTCAGTATACTCCTATTGTGAAGGATCACAATGTATATCACTCTCTTGACCCTTTTTATTCTTCTTATTTCCCCTCTTTGGCTTGTACTTCCTTGGTGGTGGACACATAGAAGTTGTGAATGGATGTGTTAGTTCTCAAACTTTTTTATTCATCCCCCCATATGGCCTATAATATCTAGTGTACTGAAAGACCTCTTCAACTCTTCACCTTCTTCTTCTAATATACTACAACATTTAGGCTCTCCAGCAACAATTGAAAAACGTTGCCAGAACTCTGAAAATCGTTGCCTAAAACAATAGGGGACGTTTTCTAGGCGTCTCCTGTGCGAGCGTTGCCTATTGTTTGAGGCGACGTTTTTTATGTTTTTTGGAACGCTTTTGAAAAACGTCGCCTATAGTAAAGGAATAGGGGACGATTATTTACGGCCTCTGAGACAATGTTTTTTAAGCGTTGCGTTACCAAATTCGGCTACAATTAACAATCGTTGCCTTAAACCTGAATCAGGAAGATCGTTTTTAAAGTGTAGCCATAGCTTATAGGTTGTTGTTTTATAGTGTCCACATAAAATATACAATTTTGCAATTATTATCAAAATAATATAGTCAATAATAATTGGCTTCAAAAATAATATTGATTATATAACTTAAACCATACATCCATAAAAGTTGTAATATAATAAAATTGAGTTCAAACTTTAATTCAAGATATAGTATATAGAGTACACAAAATGCCTAACGTAACAATATTACTTTTAATACTTTGAAGTATGACCCTAGTAAAATAACTAAAAACATAGTTCAGCAAAAGAACAAAAATCATATTTCAAGTTTAATGCTTTCAACTACAAGCCAAAAAAAAGACATCATCCAACTCATTCAAGTTTGTCTTCTAGGAGTAAAGCATCCAGATCGTCCTCTTGAAATTCGTTAGATATGTCATCCTCCATAAATTCTTCATCTACGTCGTCCTCTTGAAATTCACCATCTATATCCTCCTCTTGAAATTCATCATCTAGATCTATGTTGTCCTCTTGAAATTCGTCATCTACGTCGTCCTCTTGAATTTTATCATTTAGGTCGTCCTCTTGAATTTTATCATTTATGTCGTCCTCTTGAATTTCATCATTTATATCGTCCTTTTCAACATCTTCATTGATACATTGCTGCATAAGAAAATAAAATAAAACACATTAACCATAAGTATTTTTTGGTCCAAAGGACAATTAAGACATCAACAAGAATTAAACCTCGCACAAATAAAAACTAAACCAATGAGCAAAACACATTGTTTATATTCTTCACATCTCATGGATGTGAATTAATTATGAAGATTTTTAATGGATGTGAATTTTCGTTCTAAAACTGTAATAGGTGACATGAGCTTACTAGCAAATAAATCAATTATGAAAACCATTCTGTTTTTGGCTCACTATTCAGGACTTACAATAGCCTTTAACTGTGTGTATGTATGTATGTATGTATAACTTGTGCTATCCTTTTATGTTTATTTTTTGGAGTAAATGAACTCTGATGAACACTCTTACTTGTTGTATCTTCTTTGGTGTTCAGTATCATATGGATAAATTTACAGCATACATAGTGAGTGTTATCAAACAAGGGGGGTCCCATAATCTTATCCCAGGCAAGTATGTTTGTGAAATATCAATGAAAGCTCGCACAAATAAAAAGTTTCAGCCACTTCTAGGTGTTGTCACTACTTAAACAATTTCAACCACTTACTTTATTCTAGGGTTGTCACTACTTGCAAATTTTTGCATACATTAACAACCATTTTGATACTATAACATAATTAGAAAAATATAAATCAATAATATTGGTATATATGGTTACCTTTCCATGACATGGAGCATGAGTAATGTAGATGAATGCATTTGCGGTCTTATATCCTTTGGGGAACTATTAGCATCTCCATGAGATAATTCTAACAAATCTTCAATTGACTCTATATTAATTTGAGGATTGCATTGTTGTATTACGGTCTTAAAAGCATTTTGCAATCTATCAATCTTATCTTGAAACTCGTCCCTTAATGTAGAGACCTCTTCACTGTGGGCTTGTTTCAAAGCATTAATCTCTGCCTTTCTCTTTAAGGAAGTTTTTAGTTATGTTTCTCCCATAACAGCGTACCCTGCCTGGACACTCCTTTCCAAAAAAAACTTTAAAAGCTTCTGTATCACTTTCCTCCTTTTCAACCATTTCCTTGAAGTTGGGACTAGCATAAATTACAAAAAAAAAAATATTAGCTACTATTATAGACAATGTTGGCCGATTATATTAAGCAAACGTATTATATAAACAATGTTACATACAATTACTTTTCCAGTTTCTACATCCAGTTCCTTTCCTTTATTTCCTTTTCGAGTTTCAACAAACATTTTTGATTGAGTGGGCTCTCTTTTTTCCTTTTCACGCTGCACAAATCAAAATAATTCCATAAACAAATTATGTGAATTAAAATTCCTATTCACGAGTCAAAGAAAAGTTTTTCACGAATACTTTAATTGAACAAAGAAACATTCATACAAGGAATAATTTATTGAGAACAAAAGAAAGTTACCACTTTTTCACGAGTCAAAGCAAAGTTTTTGGGACCCATTGGATGCATCCACTTTAGTTGAGCTCTATTTCTAGTGTTATTTTCACTGATTTCCTACATTTAAATTTGACAGAATTATTATAATAAATATTACTTAATTATGGCATACATAGAAAGGTGTAAATTCATACACATACATAAAAAAATTATTAATCTTACTTGTATAGTTTCCTTACTCCAATAAGCACAAAGACTCTTAAACTAGGCTATTGGCACGTTTGGCGGACGATTTTTGAGTCTCTCGGTCATGTTGGAATACTTCAAAAAATGATTCTTCTTAATTTTGTGCTTATATCTTCTTCATGCCTCTCTAACAGTGGTCTCAATCCAATCTCGTGCTTCAACCGCAAGATAAACTTCCGCTACATAAATTATAAGATAAGACAAGATCAAGAAATGAAACACTTTTTTTTAATAATTAGACTTTCAAATTCATAGATAAAAACATACATTAGTATATCTCCAGAAACGGTTTTTTATTATCATCTGGCATTCCTGACCAATTGGTGTAACATAGAGGACAAAATGTTGAGTTCCTAGCCAATGTTCCCAAGAAGAGGCTCAAGTCAGATACTACTTTTTCACTAGGACCAATTGGCTGAAAATCCTCATTAAAGGTCACTTCTACTCGCTCTTCCAAAGTTCTTGCATGAATCTTTTTGCACAAAGTTTTTCCCACGAGTTTTTCTTTGGGATGTTTCTATAAAGTAATAACACAACAACATGATATCACATGTTTGCTACCAATATGTAAATAATACATGAAATCATTATTATGAAATATGAAACTAATTACCTTTTTCTTCTTCTCTATTTGTGATTGCATCTTCTTCGTTGACTTTTGCCCGATTTTGAACACTTTCTTGTCGAGTTCCTTTTTTTGATTGATTTTGATTAGAGCTACGGTTAACGCTGCTGCCCCGGTTTTTCACCATTGATTGACTTGGTTGCATCCATTTCCTTTGACTTGTGAAGATCTACATAATCATCAATCAACATTGATGGGCATTTTGGCACCCTGTTTAGCTTTTGAGAGCATTCAGCTTTTGACATCATTGTGTCCAAAGATAGAGTTTTCGGCACAACAACATGAAAACTTAGCAAATAAGTTACATACCTTGCTCTAGTCATGGCCACATTGGTTATTTTTCGATTTGAAAGAAAATCGACTTTTCCACTCCATTTGATCTAACATTAGACATTATTATAATATCTTCCTCTCCACCTTGAAAACCGTCAATAGAACGAACACTCACAGAGAAATCAGTATCAGAAACAGAAGTGTACTCCTTAATTTTGTCCTGGATTGCATAGACTTGAGCATTATATGGAGAGATAACTCCAATGCTAACTTTCTCTTGTGTCCTCTTAAACTCTAAAATTAAGAACATACACATATTAATTATACACATATTAATAGAAAAACATAACCACAAATGGTAAAGAGAATAATAACCTTTTTTGAGGTTTTTAATCATCTCAGAATGACAGCAACCTCAACCATGTTCATCAAGCTGTGTCCGCGGCCAGATTTCTCCTTACCCTTAGCAATGTTAATAAATGAATAAGACGAATATAATTCTCCTTCAAGGAAACTCTTATTGTAGCTTTCTTCCATAACAAAAGGGGCATCTGAGATCTTTTGATCATAGAACTCTTTGCATGGAAATAAGCTTATGTTTGGATGCATTCGATACTGAACATTAAGCATATGTTTCTTGTACCCTAATATTACCAGTCTCTCAAACATACTTCTTCCAAATCCATAACTATCAGCAATCTAAAAAAAATTCAAACATCATAAACATACTTAATTAAAGGCAAAAAAAATTCAAGATACAATAAAACTAAATTCAATAATCAGGTACCCTTGCTTTTCACCAGTGCTGGCAGTTGCTTCTCATCACCTATAAGAATGCAATGCTGAAGACCAGGTAGCTGTAAGGGGATTGTGGATTCACACTCTTTCAACTGGGCCACTTCGTCAATTACTAGAAACTTTACCTGAGTCATTCCTTCAGTGTAGAGTTTAATAGAACTAGAAAAAGTCCACAAAACCAGACATGCATTGGACAAGCAAAACTTTTCTATTTGATTTCTCCCATTGAGTTCAGGAAGCAAAATAGAACCTGGAAAGCAAACTGAGTATTTTCAAGAAATCATCAATTTCATAGTTTGATGGTAGAAAGCAAGAAGAAATTCTTTCTTTTTCGCTAGCATCAAGAGTTTGCTTAAACTTTGCTGGACCCAATGAAATTCCAATTGACCTCAATAGTTCAATAGCTCGAAACATTTTCTTCACTGTTACAAGTGAAATAAAAGACTTGGGCAGGTGAGTGTATAAAGTTTGTATCAAAAACTTGAGCTTCTCACTTAATTCATAAAATGTCTTCTTCACAAACTGCTCCAATGTCATGAAACTTTTAATATTATCCATCTTGTCGGAATATTCATCTGCAATATTGATCCACAACTTCTGCACATATTCCTCCAATGTCATAATATGATCATCATTCCTACTAATTCGCTTGTACATGCAGAAAGAGGATAACACATGACTATGTTTTTCATTGACAAATTCCTCAAGGGACTTAAGGCCAATCTCTGAAAAATATTGCTTTTCGGGATCTTGAAGAAACTGGGACATGGACTCCAAGGTACGCTTCCATCCGGTTAATGAAGAAAAGCACTGCATGAGGTTTTTCACCCAATAATCAAGAAAGATATCACCAAGACCTGGATAACAATCAACTTTCATTCTTTTACCATTCCAAAGAGCACAATGTCACCTAAACCATAGTATCATACTCAAGGGATTCCTTAACTAAACTATGCAAACCGAGTTGCGACTTGCAAAATCGCAGTATTTGTTGGTGCACAAGTTAGTGTCCTTGTTTTCAACTTGAGAAGAGAAAATAGCAGGCATGCAACTGTCTTTGTTTTCCCAGTTCCAGGTGGACCCCATATAAGTTTGGTATTAGCATGACAACAGTTTAACATACCAACACATCTTGAAACAGCTTCTTCCTGTGAATCATTCAAATTTTGAGAACGAATTATGTCTTCTTTAGTGTAAGAATATTGACTACAAAATTTGCAGTTTTCTCCACCCCTGAAACACAAAAGCAAGTATAAAAAAATGTTACATTCATATATAATCAAACTGCATAAAAAAAACTCCATTGTTCTAAACTAGATATGAACTCAAATTTGAACACGACTGAGTTTGCCTTATTTGAACTGAGAAACTAAATGAAAAAATGATTCTTACATCATGACAAGGCCGCAACACTTTTTTTAATAAGGCCAAGGTGGTCACCGTCTGATTGTGAGTTCAAGGCTTTCCAAATACGAACATTTGTTGTCATGTTCATAAGATAAACTGCATACATTTTCTGTTTATCATTATACCTGAAATCAGTTTCAGTCATGCATTTCGATGACATTATCGAGACTTCACCAGAAAATTCATCTTTTGGGGCAACAACATAGCCAACATTGTAGGGACATCTCTGTGTATTAAGATCATCTACTCTTTTAGGCACCCTATTTGCTAAGTAATTTATGTAACTAATCATATAAAATTTAAAGGAATAGAATACCACCATGAATAAAACATACTGAGAGTTTCGTAAAACAATTATATATGCTGTTCAATTTAAAGGAGAGTTATCTAACTAATTATATATGCTGTCCAATTTAAAGGAGAGTTTCGTAAAACAATTATATATGCACATGATGTTGTCCAATTATATATGTTGTCCAATAAAACATACTGAGAGTTAAAAACAATTATGTTAATCAATTTTATAAAAAAAAACCAATTTCTGTACTCTGCAATATACCGTAATGAATATATATCCATGCTTCAACATAATGGTTCTGTTTCAAAGTGTATCAAAGTCACATAAGTTGCTGTTTCTAAATTACAGTTGATAGGTTATTTAATTAGGTGGATTTCAGTTGTTGATAATTTACATTATATTATCTGCATAAGCCATGCTATTTATCCAATGTTTCGGCCAAATTCTATGAGTTTTAGTCGTCTGCATAAGCCATGCTATCTCAAATAAAATATATGGCTACATAACAATTCATTAACTTCAAATTGGTTACCTAAAAAATATACAAAACTATAGAAATTGTACTCATGTATATGAAACACAAGAAGCAGAACTCAACTTCAAGCCAGTATTCTTCTATTTAGCAGCATACTTAGGTACAGGCACCTTATGTTTCTTTCTGGCAAGTTACCAAATTCAAGGCATAAAAACATATGGTTTTCTTGATGCTCTTATTTCTGTGTCGTCACGATGACAACCGTTGGATATGGCGATCTCGTTCCTAATAGTACTATAGCGAAACTACTTGCTTGCCTTTATGTCTACACTGGTATGGCCTCTTGGTGGCTTGATTCTTAGCAAAGCAGCATATTACATTGTTGAAAAACAGGAAGTGTATCTTGTTAAAGCAATATGCAAAGCGAGAAACTCAGTCTAGAAGAGGTTTCTAAAGAACTTGTGACTAGAAAAGCAAATACAAGTTTCTGCTTTCAATATCCACTTTTGTTGTACTCATGATTACAAGAACTGTTTTTCTGTATTTTGTTGAGAAACTAGAATTCGTCGATGCATTCTATTGTGTTTGTTCGACGGTTACGACTTTAGGTTACGAAGATAAGAGCTTCTC